GATGATCAACAACAAATTTTGTAGCAACATAAAAGCCAAACATGAAATTTTTAGTACGCCAATGAAAAGAGCTCATGTCAGAGGATTCATTAAGCTGTCACTTACCGGAAGGCCAGCCTTGCCTGCTGGACCGGAGGGTCCCGATTCACCACGCATGCCCATTGGGCCCTAGAAATGAATGGACATACATAAGAGCTGGACATCGAAAGGCAATGCAGAATACTTACGGGTAAGCCCATGGGTCCTTGATCGCCCTTGTGTCCCTTCTCGCCCTATGCCATGGATGACATATATTAGATATTACAGTTAGACATAGGCACTATATATACTTACAGGATCACCCTTGCGTCCGTCCAAGCCGCGCTCGCCCTGAGGTCCAGTGTGTCCGGGCGGGCCCATGGGACCGGGTGGACCAGGTGGTCCGTAAAGCTGTGGAAAATATGCATGTTAAGGATTTGTCTTTAGAGAGTCGAGGAGGCAGCTACTCACATATTCAATTGCCGGAATGTGTGGGGCATCGGACATTCCGTCGTCCTGCCTGCGTCGCATTTTGCGGTACTAAAGTGTACTCGATTGGTAAATATCGATAGCAATCATCGATTGTTTGTAACTTACCGAATCGCCGCGGTCACCCTTGTCGCCCTTGACGCCTGGATAGCCTGGTGGTCCGGGCAGGCCAGGAGGTCCCATCAGACCAGGTGGACCAATATCGCCGCGATCGCCCTTCTCGCCGGGCGGTCCCTGGTAGCCGGGCAGACCAGGTGGGCCCTCAATGCCCGGCTCTCCCGGTAGGCCGTCCAGGCCACGTGGACCCAGTGAGCCCGGCTCACCTGGCTCTCCGGGTTCACCCTTGCTGCCATCACGTCCGTCGCGGCCGTCCTTGCCCGCGGCGCCCGGTGGTCCGGGTGGGCCACGCAACAGTGTGACGGGCGGATCATCATAGTCGTCCTCCAGCTTGGCGCCGCCAGGTCCAAATAGCTGCTCAAAGCAAAGGCGGAATGCAAATGCGTTTGGGAGACAACGGGGGGATGGAAGAGAGATATGTTGGCAAATTTAGTGAGAAGATTAATTTATGCCACGTGGCGCCGCCCGAGGCGTTGCACGCGCTCGTTCCACACACCCGCACACACGCTTTGATGGCGCAACAAAAGCGACGCGTAATACGCTGCCATGATAATATAAAGTAAAAAACAAAATCAACTTCGTCTCGTCCCTTGGGGTGGCCAGGCGGCTCGTTGGTGTGTATGGATGTGTATGAGTGTGGGTGTGTGCTGGCCGTATTGATGGTGCGAGCTTTCGGTGGCTGCTGTGCCGCAGTGAAAGTCTTTTGTGTGTGCCTCGAAATTGTGTTAAGTGCAAGTCGGAGCCGAGTCGCAGCTCGCTCCATAGCCGCCGACTTAGACAATGCTGGCATAGAAAAGCCTTTAAAATCGGCGAGGGCGGCTGGCAGGGGAAGCTAGGGGCGTGGCATGGTAGTGCGAGTCGAAAATAAAGTCAAGCAGCGACGTGCTTCAAGTGCGCTGTGCGAGTGTGTGCGTATGAGTGTGTGTGAGTGTGTGTGAGTGTGTGTGTTTTGTGCATTGCTCTTTGGCTCTTGCTAGGTTGAGTGCCATTGTGTGGTTGTGTGTGTGCGTGTGTGTGTGTGCGTATTCAGGGTAAGTTCCAAAGTGAAAGATAATGAATTGGTTTTCGGGCGCTTCTCAACAATTTCGAACACTCACACATTCAAGAAGTCAACGACACAGCCAAAAAAGCCGCGTGTGCATTTGAGCAACCACAGCAGCCACACACAATCACTCACACACACACACACACACACTTACACATACGTCTAGTTGCATTTAGATCCCATTTGCAGCAGCGAAAAGTACTCGAGCGCTAAGACAATCGAATTCGAGCCGCAGCACGCCCAGCGGCAGCTACAAAGTCTATTACGCAAATGTTAAGGCCCATAAAAAAGGAACAGCAACAATATAAACAGCTACAGCAAATGGGAAATGGAAAACGTTTACACACGTAAGAGCTGGCGCTTAGAAAAAAAAAAAAAGAAAACATTCAATAGCAATTCAAAGCTTGCAGAAAATTGGGCAACATTGTTGCTTAAAGTGTATGGAAATATGTATAAAACTCTCTCTCACTCACTCTCTCTCTCTCTATACGTATATATGTTTCCCTCTTTATACTTGTATTAGAAACTTTTTAATGTCTTCGCCAAGATAATCTTCTTGGGTTAGCGCATGTAAAATAATTAAATTTTATAGCCATTTTTTTGTTCGCAATGCTTTTTGTTGCCTAAGGAAGTGCCGTACTTACAGATATTAAAAGGCAACAACAATAGATTGCATAACAATGCAAACCGCTTAGCACACACATGTACACACACACACTCACACGCATGGAGCATATGCTTAAGTGATGCTACGAAATGGCGGCCGTTCGCTCGCTTAAATGCACAAAAACAAATGAAATGGCGACGAGAAAAAGGAGACAACAGCAACAGCAACAACAAGGACAACAACAACAACAACAACAGCAGCAACAATTTGAACGCAAGTTGGTCGCTAGCAGGAGGCGACTGTGGCAGGAGCAACGACCATGACGCCGTCATGGCTTACCGCAAATGCAGTTGCCAGCGCACGAGTAACTTTTGCCCCTTTATGCATACTCATATAAGGCGCAGCTCATCTGCATCGCACGTATGTATGTGTGCGTGAGTGTTTCCGTGTATGTGTGTGTGTGTGTGTTTGTCGACGCCCAGCTGGCACTTTGTTGCAAGTTTTACAGTTATACACAATGTTGCCAAAGACTCTGGGGTATAGAATAGCTCTCTCTCTCTCTCACTCTCTCAGTGTCTGCCTTGGGGCTCTACTGAATTTCCGCTTCCGCCCTTTGTTGGGCTTTCAGTGATTAGTCGTCCATTTGCTCGGCAATTAAAGCGCTTGAAATTAAAGCGCGCGCTTAACTTTTGCCCTGCGTGCGCCACTGGCGATAATGAAGGCTTATGGCACCACATTTGCCATCAGTTGGCCCATCAGCCAATCTGTCAGTCACTCAGTCGGTGAGTCGATAAACAAATGCCAGCGACAAATCAACGCCAGCAATAAAAACAGAGATGCCGAAAACGTATGGGCCAAGGATTTAAAGGCTTTAAGGAGCCGACGGCAACGGCACAGGCAACGGCAGCGGCAGCTGCGATAAATAACATAAATAAAAGATACGAAGCCAAGTGAATTTGGGCAAATGTTTGTTAGCCATTCGCAAGGACGATTCTGATGGCGCAGCTGCCTAACTACGATAAAAACTTCTTCTCTGCTTTTTCGCCAGCCTCTTTCGCTCGATCTTTCTATGACTGCGTGTGTGCGAGTGTGTGTTTGCTTGTATGTGAAATCCATTAGAATGTATCAATATTTGTGCGAGCGCCTCGAGTTGATTTTAATTTCCAATGTATTCAGCAAACATAGCACACCCACACACCCACACACACACCCGTTCACCCGCTCACCCACTCACACACACCCACACTCATACATAAATTTAATGCGTTCACATGCTGAGAGGCATTTCGGTAAATTATTCGCAAATTTGCTTTTTATTTGCCCAAACGCTTTTCAATTTCAACTTTCAACTGAAGCCGAGTGTTTTCTTTCCCTGCATACTTTCAGGCGCCGGCCGATAAGAAAATACACGCGAATTTGTTGTAATTGCAAAGTAATTGCCATCGCCGGACACCGGTCAATTGAAGTGGATATGGGAGTAGATAGTCCCGTTTCGCAACGGGAATTTCATTGAAATTTCGTAGGCAAAGGCAGACAAATGGCCGCACGTAAATGCGTTAAATTGAAAATCATTTTGATCTCGACCGCGCGACCTTTTCCTGCGACACTGACTGCCGCAGCGGGGCGTGGCCAACGCCCACGTTCGTGCTCAAGTACAGTCATATGCCGCAGCCGCCAGTGCGATGTCCATGCCATCTGTCAGTTTGTGTGTGCGTGCGCGCATATTTTTCCCATTTCTGTTTTTTTTCGTCTTCGTTTTTTTTTATGGCAGTTTCCTTTAGAAATTTCATACTTTTTACAGCCACGGCAACCGCAGCTAAAGCAGCAGCAGCAGCAGCAACAACAACAACAACAACAGCTGAACACCGCCCGAGGTGAAAGTTTTGTAGCTCGTTTCCGGCTCACACACAAAACTCCAACTCCTGCTCCCGCTCCCGCTCCTGCTGCTGCTGCTGCTGCTGCTGCTGCTGCTGCTGCTGCCACCCCACCATCACGCGTACGGAGTTGGCCCAGCCATGTAATACGTTCCACATCTTTCGCTCTTCACAAAAGTTTACAAGAATCACACAATGCCAGGGAAGTTCTTGGCAAGTGCGCGGCCACATTAAACGCGTAATATGTTCCGCTTCGCATCGACAATGGACCCAAAAGCCAAATACCAAGAATATTTAAGTTGTGAGCTTTAAGGCTCCGTGAAAGCAACTACAGATATCAATTACTGTTTATTTTCTTTTTCGTTTTTCATTTGCCAAAGCAGATTTCAAATCGTCTTAAAACAATTTTTAAAGAACTCAAACTTTTTAAATTTTTAAAGGAATTCACATTGAACTTGTGAAATAAATTGAAAATCATTTAATCAATACATAGTTTTACTCGAAAGAAATAAGATTGAAGTGATATAGATGGTAAATAAAATATGTTTGTGCTTTATAGAACTTAGAATGTACAAATTCTACACTTCATTATATTAATAAAAGAGAACAAATAAAAATTAAATTAAAAAAAATAAATAAAATTAAAAATAATAATAATAAAATAGAATTCAATTAGAACATTCTTCATATATACTTATATGTATATTTTCACATTTAGAGTTTGTAAAAATTTCATTTATACAAAGAGTTAAATATTTACTTTAACAAATTTTTTAAATTTTGAAAATTAATGAAATGAAAATTGCATATTAATATAATACTTATATATTTAAAATATATAGTTTAGTTTAGTACTATATATATAGTATATATATTAATATTAAACTGAACTATATATTCAATTTTCACTTAAGATCACTTTTTTACGCAATTGTTGGCCAATGCCGCCCATTGTACATTGCAGTCAGCCGCAAGGCAAAAGTCAAGACGCAATGTAAAAATTTCGCGTGATTTCATTTTGCCGCTTGCAAACATTGTTACCGCCATTCGATATTGTTGTTGTTGTTGTTGTTGATGTCCTGATATTGTAATATGCCGGAAATTTGGCAGTATTTAGGGAAATCGTTGCTAAAGATTTCGCCTTTTCGCAGCCGCAATCATTCGCAAGCAGCGGGGGTGTATCTATATGCCAGAATAGCGTAACGTAACATTACGCCAGTTGGCTGGCTGCAGGCCCCATTGGAAAACAGCCCCACATCAATGGCAAACGCGTGCCTATACATTTCCAGGACTTGTCTGTGTAGGTGTGCGTGTCGTGTGTACTGGTGTGTGTGTGTGAGTGGGTGGGCAGAGCCGTTCATTTGGTGTCGCTAACTTGAGATTTTTATTTGCCAGCATACATACGTGGCGTTGCGTGCGCCTGGATTTCTTTATTCAATCGTTTTTGTTGCTCCCACAGCGCCCTCATCATCAGTGGCCATAAAATAAAAGTTACGCACACCCCAGGGGCAACATTACATGCCACACGCACACACACACACACACACACACCCGCATCCGCACTCCTGCTGTGCCTTGAATGGCATGCTTGACCGACTTCGTTGGGCTTCATATTCAATATGGCTAGACATATGAGCACTGACCACAAATAATTGCCATAGTGGCAAAATGGAAAATTGCGCAAATAGAAAAGAAGGGAAAAAATTTGCTAAAATTTGCATGCTGCGCAATTTTCAATGAACAATGACGTCACACACACAGAGAGAGACTCGCATGCCCGATAAGCAACATAGCAGTTGGCACAGCATTGCGGAGGCTTATCAAATCG